AAAAATAAAGGGATGTTAATATATAGTGTATATATATAAAAATATATCTCGCTAGATAGTTTTTCGACGAAAAGTTATCAATTGACACCCCAAAAATACGTGTGGTTCCGCCGCCGGATTTGACCAACACTTTGTTTGGTTCATAGTATATATTATGCTTTCCGATTTGTAATTTTAAATCATAAATTCTGAATATACAGGTCAAATAATAAATCTTTTAATTACACATCAAATAATTATTCTCAAAACTTGATCAACATAGGGGTGTACAAACCAAATCGAAAAACCGCACCAAATCGAAAAATTAAACCAAACCGATTAAAACCCCCGATGAGGTTTGGTTTGATTTGGTTTGGTATTTAGTAAGAAAATCCGAACAAAACCGACAAATAAATATATAGTTTTATATATACTTTTAAGACTTCGTATAGAATTTTCTTTAAAAAAATGTGTAGAAATATTTGAGATTCTCTTATGGGATATAATATTTAATAAAATATGAAGTGCTATATTATTATTAACTTTAACTAATGTGTTGTATGATCACTTTCTTATCAAGTATTACTGAAATGCGTCAATCTCTTTGTTCTTCCATATTCATATGTCAAGATCTATTAAATTCTTATATTTGTTTCGATTTGAAATGGTATTTCGATAATTGAAAGTTAAATAGAACATATCATTATTTAGGTATCATAATAATATTTAATTATTAAATTCGATTAACTTTGAAAGTGTAAATCAACGAAAAGTTATTGTCAGACAACTAAAAAAATAACTATCATGTGCTATTAAATTCTTTTTAATAGATCATATGTTTGTCAATTGTTTTAATTTTTATTAAACATATATTTACTTATAAATAATTTTAAAAAGTAATATTGACTTATTATTCATGTGACAAAAAAACCAAGAAAACCCAAAAAATCCTACAAAACCGAACCAATCCAAACCGATATAGTTGGTTTGGTTTGGTTTTAATAAAAAGCGAACAAATCCGGTCCATGTACACCCCTAGATCAACATATTAATACAACAATGCAATTAAAAAATTTCACAATTTATTCTTTATTTTCGTTTTACATCATACTTATTTCTTTTCAAAAATTCCAAAACATTAATCCCAAGACATAAAACACTAATCTAGGTCCTTTCACTTTCAGTTTAACTTACTCGCTAAAATGGGAACCCATTAGAGTAGGAGGACCCATAATTCACTTTCCAATCCCAAAATATTTAAGAAGTTGAACCAATAATTGGAAAAAGATATACTGTATCAAAGATAAAGTTTAATACTATCTTTACAGCTTCTCATGAGCTAACTATAAAAAGATCAAATATTCTCCTTACAACTGTATTCTTTTCCCCTTTTCCTTCTCTCTTTTAATTATAGTTTTTTCCATTTTTCCTTACCCGATTCCGTGAATCTCGTCAGTTTGCTTTACAACTCAAGGACGCGTTGAATAGAACTTAGATATTGTTATTTATTTATTCTTACTGGAAAAAAATATTATTTACACACCCCCAGGAGCTCGGTGAAATAGTTAGAATTGCTCTACCTTAACTAGAAATCTCTATTCAAATCATTTGAGAATGAAAAACTTCTTGATAAGTAAGCGTTTTATTTTTTTAGTGGACCTACCCGTTGCGAATTCGGATTAGTTTAGCTAGTAAACTGCTGATATGAAATGGTTAAATAAATAAAAATTATTTATTCTCTATGAGGTGGGAAACAATTTGGAAATTTCTTTTTTGACAACTCGCTTGGCCAATCTTTTCGCCAAACCTTATATTAATCGGTGAATATTTGTTATTGAATGACAGTCTTTGAAATCATCCAAAAAAAATAAAATATTAGTAATATGCTGTTGCGGTTATGTACATCCTTAAAAATTTTATGACTTGCTCCATCCAGGAAAAGAAAAATATTATTAGAATATGGAGAGAGTCAAATGCATTTTTCTTTCATTATGAAAATTTCAAACTTTTTAAGAAATAATTTTAACTAGAAAAAATTTGTAATTGATACTAGTTTCATCGAAGTTAATGCAATAATTAATCACAAAATACTTATTTGTACCGGTTGTTTACATCAAACTAAGCAATTTAACTTTAATAACGACAAAGTAAATAAGAATAAACATCACTTTATCATGGTTAAATAATAGATAAGTATAAAAAAGACACATCTCTTGACTAATTCGTTTGATATAAAAATTCGATATGGATAAGTTTTTTGCTAATATCACATCCCAGGGGCGGAGCTAGGTGGGGGCAGAATGAGGTTTAGCCGAACCCTCTTCGCTGTGTATAAAAAGTTAATTTTTATATATATATATATATATAATATAGATATAAATTAACCACTTAGCTTCTTCGAGAGTTTACAGTTATTATTTTTTAAATTCCCTAAACAAAATTCCACTTCCGCCACTTTCACATACTATAATAGTATAACCTTATCAAAGTTTTCCTTATTAAACAAAAGGATCAAGAATTAGTATAAAGTGATAGAAGCTGGCGTTCTCTCTGGTAATTCCTAAATATTCAAATGCCATTTGACAAAATCAATGTTTCTATAGGAATATCCTCAAATAAATATAGTAACAATTATACACCAAAATTAAATTACCCCATACTTTCCTCCCTCCAAATAATTTCTTTCCTCCTCTTCAATATTTAAATAATTTAAAAATAGCCCCCAACTCTTTTAACTCAAGCCTCATAAGTCCCCATTTTGCTACAAACTGCACTGTGGTTGCAGTGACCCCCCCAAACCCCACNCATTTACTTGAGGAGATTAAAGACTTAAATACCCATTTGGGTTCTTTTAATTCTTGTTTTTCTGATCTCTCATTGGCTCTTTTGGCTGCAAAGAACCTACTTTTAGCTGCTAATGAATTTGACACCAAGATCCCTTCTGTAAGTGTCTAGTTTGGTAAAGTTTCAATCTTTTTAACTGTATGTTAATTTTCATTATGTCATGTGTATATTGACACTTTATTTTGCATTTTTGTAGTAAATTTTCAGTCTTTATATCTATATGTTAATTTCCATTATGTCATATGTGTATATTGGAACTTCATTTTGCATTTGGTGTAGTAAAGTTTCAGTCTTTTAATATATATATATATATA